GCATGTCCCACGGGGACACCCAGCCACCGCTGGTCTCCAGGTCAGTGGGTAGTGGCAGGTGTAGTTTTTAAGTAGTGGTTCTGCTCAGATTATTGCGATCGACTGTTTTACTCCATTTGAACGCAATAACCCGAGGTGTACTGGTATTGTACAGCATGCTAGTGTGGACTAGTGTGTCAGTTGACTCACGTCTAGGGACGCCTGGCGTTTGAAGTCTGGTCACAGGGGTGACAACAGTTTGGAGTTGTTTACCGGCGGAGAAGCTAGGGAAACACTCTGGGTCACGTAGGTGGCTGTAGGTTAAGGGTGGGAGTAACGTTTAATTATGTACTTAAGATTAGGAACGGTACAGTTAAGTTAGGCTAGCGTTTTGTCTATTAGTGTTGATTTTTTTTTTTTGTGACAAGTTAAAAGTAGTGATGACCTTATTCTCTCTTCTCTAACTTTACTCTGTTACTGTTTTATGTTCCACCAAGTCAATATCATTCAGAGTTAATTGGATTATTAAAATTTAAGTGTAGTTGTTGCCAGGAGGAGAGCTTATAATTGGACTGTGTGAACCCTATACAAACTACAGGGTCACACAACAAGATGGAACACGGGTATTGTCGCCTTTCTGTTCACCCACAGGTGGGAGCCAGAAGAGAGGAGAGACGCACATACAAAAGAGGGAGACGGCTGCTGTGTACCATACTCACGGGCGTTCATCACCACCACCACGACCAGCCCACTACCTGGAGGTCATGGCTCCACCACCATCACCACCCCAGGGGACCCCAAGATGCAGCCCTCTCGGTCAGTCAACATTGGTCTACCCAGTGGACCCCAGGACGGACGGACCCCAGTGGACCCCAAGACTTACGGACCCCCAGTGGACCCCAGGTCGTTCTGCAGACGACCCCAGACGACCCAGTAAAGATGGAAGAGGAGCAACAACGACTCCAGTCTGTCCCACCAACATCGGTCTACCCAGGATGGACCCCAGGACGGACGGACCCCAATGGACCCCAGGTCGCTTGTCAAAGACCCATGGGAGGAGGAAGAGAGAAGAAAGAAGAGAGAAGAAAGAGGAGAGAAGAAGGAAGAGAGAAGAAGAGAGAAGAAAGAAGAAAGAAGAAGAAGATAAGACAAGCTGAGTGAGACACGATGCCTCGTGTCCCTTGCTGGTATCAGCATCATTGCATGGAGCGTAATTGCAAGACAGGATCGTTTGCCTTAACTGGTCGCCCCTCCTACAAGCATGTTGCTCTGTTGAGTGATTCTTCCTGTGTCATGCGGACTTGATGTGGCTGTCAGAAGTAGCTCTCTGCAGGAGGCGTGCTGGAGCAACAGGGAGGAAGAAGAGTAGGATGGGATTTCTACTGTTGGCAACTATATGAAGGTCTCGAAACTTGTAGTCCCTATAGCTGTGAAGAACCCCAATATACGTCTCTCATGGTGACTGACGTAGGGCCAATTACAGATCAGCTGGGACAACCGAATTCCACGGTCCTGTGCGCAGTTCAAGTAGTAACGGCTTTCGGGTTGACCAAGTGTTGTTGTGCGTTAACGACGGAGAAGCGACGGAGGCAGTTGTGTTGAAGAAATGTGGTACAGGACTATCTACAAGACCAAGCAGTGACGTCGCCCAGCCAGAGACAATGGACGTCTGTCTACATATTTCATTTTTTTAGAGTAGGATGATGTATATTTGTTTAGCTAGGATGTATTTTTTTTTTCGTTAATAAAGTTGTCGCACACAGCTAGCTTGCTTTAGCAGTGTTGCAAAAACTTTATTTCGGGGAGAAGGGGAGATGTAACACTGTAAAAGTGTTTGGTTTAGGTTAATACATACATAGAGTACATGAGTCACAGACAAGGATCTGAGAGGCGCCAGTTGTCTGCCTGAGATCTCACACCTCAAAGCGTTAATGACCCCAAGTGACCTGAGGTCAGATCATGAGAATTTCACCTTGCTTCCGCTAAGCGTATAATTGGAGCCGGGTAGCCTTCAAACATGCCGACGTTTAAGGAGTGGCTTGGTAGTGCCGGAGGCTATCTACTTGTGGGCGGAGTTAGCTACTAGGTTCCCCAATAAATACTCGGAGAACTATCGAGCATAGAGCATTAACGAGACAGAACAGCACACGAGCCAGCAGAGCAGAGAGGCTGTCGGCCGGCAGGGGCGAGACAGTCTCTGTCAAGCTACAGACCCCCCCCCCCCCCTCTCTATTCAACTTAGACTCAGTCCTCGGTGAGTGAACATTAAGGTGACTTGTCGTGGTTACATATGTTGTGTGAAGATCAGGGGCAGTCAAGTTGTAGGGTTCTCGAATTCTTGGATGATGACTCACTTTGAATATTAATCGTTAACATTTTAATTGGATTGCTTAAGTTATGATACTTATCATGAAAAATATAATTGTTGAATTTATTATTTAAATGGTCTTTCACTGTGTTTCCTAGAGAGTTGAGTTGAGGTGAGAAAGCCTCCTCGGGGATTATTGGTTCCCTGATTTTAATGAGTACATGGTACAGAGGGAACATACTAATAATGAACTCATGATAACATCTTTTGAGAATTTTGTGATACAGGCAAGTTCCATTCCTTGTCTTGTATGTAATGATCATGAATGGATGGTGGCAGCATTTCGTCTTCTACTATCTACTCTTCTACTTCTACTATCTACTCTTCTACTTCTACCTATCTACACCTCTCCCTCCACCCTTCTCTAAACTCTCACTTTCAACTAATGACCCTCCTTGCCCCTCCCACCTCTCTGCCTCTCACCCCAAACCCTCACTAATTACTTCACTATGCATTTCTTTCCTTTCGTTATCTCTTTTACGTTTGTGGCAATGATTCTGTATTCTAGAGTTCTCTCTGGAGTTTCGGGTAACTGATCAAGTGACGGCGCCTTGTAGTCTTAGCACCTAGGTAGTCAAATACCTAGGTTACAAGGTGGTGAACGAGAGAGGTTGCCTTAGGAACTCTGGAGGTGCTCTAGAATAGTTAGCTAACTGGGGACGGGATAACGGACTAGAGAGAGCTGTTTCCCCCGGCCTCGTTAGTTAACTGGGGGGTGGAATAATGGACAAGATAGAGCTATTTCCCCCACCCCCGTTATAACTACTGTGGTGACCACTGTGGTGACCACTGTGGTGACCACTGTGGTGACCACTGTGGTGACCACTGTAGTGACCACTGTGGTGACCACTGTGGTGACCACTGTGGTGACTACTGTGGTGACTACTGTGGTGACCACTGTGGTGACTACTGTGGTGACCACTGTGGTGACCACTGTGGTGACCACTGTAGTGACCACTGTGGTGACCACTGTGGTGACCACTGTGGTGACCACTGTGGTGACCACTGTGGTGACCACTGTGGTGACCACTGTGGTGACCACTGTGGTGACTACTGTGGTGACCACTGTGGTGACTACTGTGGTGACCACTGTGGTGACCACTGTGGTGACCACAGTGGTGACCACTGTGGTGACCACTGTGGTGACCACTGTGGTGACCACTGTGGTGACCACTGTGGTGACCACTGTGGTGACCACTGTGGTGACCACTGTGGTGACTACTGTGGTGACCACTGTGGTAACCACTGTGGTGACCACTGTGGTGACCACTGTGGTGACCACTGTGGTGACCACTGTGGTGACTACTGTGGTGACTACTGTGGTGACCACTGTGGTGACCACTGTGGTGACCACTGTGGTGACCACTGTGGTGACCACTGTGGTGACCACTGTGGTGACCACTGTGGTAACCACTGTGGTGACCACTGTGGTGACCACTGTGGTGACCACTGTGGTGACCACTGTGGTGACTACTGTGGTGACTACTGTGGTGACCACTGTGGTGACCACTGTGGTGACTACTGTGGTGACTACTGTGGTGACTACTGTGGTGACCACTATGGTGACTACTGTGGTGACTACTGTGGTGACCACTGTGGTGACTACTGTGGTGACCACTGTGGTGACTACTGTGGTGACTACTGTGGTGACTACTGTGGTGACTACTGTGGTGACCACTGTGGTGACTACTGTGGTGACCACTGTGGTGACAACTGTGGTGACCACTATGGTGACTACTGTGGTGACCACTGTGGTGACCACTGTAGTGACTACTGTGGTGACCACTGTGGTGACCACTGTAGTGACTACTGTGGTGACCACTGTGGTGACCACTGTGGTGACCACTGTGGTGACCACTGTAGTGACTACTGTGGTGACTACTGTGGTGACCACTTTGGTGACCACTGTGGTGACCACTGTGGTGACCACTGTAGTGACTACTGTGGTGACCACTGTGGTGACCACTGTGGTGACCACTGTAGTGACTACTGTGGTGACCACTGTGGTGACCACTGTGGTGACCACTGTGGTGACCACTGTAGTGACTACTGTGGTGACCACTTTGGTGACCACTGTGGTGACCACTGTGGTGACCACTGTGGTGACCACTGTGGTGACCACTGTGGTGACCACTGTAGTGACCACTGTGGTCACCACAGGTACAGCTTGGGGAGGTCAAAGCTTGAGGTTGAAGCCCCCACGACTGAAGAGCCTCAGCTAAAGCTTCCAGGCTCCAAACACCAAAGACTCGGGACAAAACTTCTCGACCAAAATCGTGCAGGAATGAAATATTTCAGAGCCAAATACTCTGGCCCAAATATTAGTGTTGAGAGCGTCCACAGCCAAAACGTTTTATGCTAAAACATGTCAAGAAAACACCTTCCAGGCTCACACATTTTTGGCCAAATACAGTTCCTGGAGAAAACATTTAATAGTCAAAACATTTGGCAGTGGAACGCCTCAAGTCCAAAATATTACAGTGAAAATGTTTAGCTGGCGTGTTTCCAGCGGCAACCCGCAGTCAATTAATATATGCAAAGTCATTACCATGTAATTACCACACACGGACCAGACCCAGACCCGGCAGGAGCAGGACTCTCCTTACCCCTCAGACCCAGACCCGGCAGGAGCAGGACTCTCCTTACCCCTCAGACCCAGACCCGGCAGGAGCAGGACTCTCCTTACCCCTCAGACCCAGACCCGGCAGGAGCAGGACTCTCCTTACCCCTCAGACCCAGACCCGACAGGAGCAGGACTCTCCTTACCCCTCAGACCCAGACCCGGCAGGAGCAGGACTCTCCTTACCCCTCAGACCCAGACCCGGCAGGAGCAGGCCTCTCCTTACCCCTCAGACCCAGACCCGGCAGGAGCAGGCCTCTCCTTACCCCTCAGACCCAGACCCGGCAGGAGCAGGCCTCTCCTTACCCCTCAGACCCAGACCCGGCAGGAGCAGGACTCTCCTTACCCCTCAGACCCAGACCCGGCAGGAGCAGGCCTCTCCTTACACCTCAGACCCAGACCCGGCAGGAGCAGGCCTCTCCTTACCCCTCAGACCCAGACCCGGCAGGAGCAGGCCTCTCCTTACCCCTCAGACCCAGACCCGGCAGCAGCAGGACTCTCCTTACCCCTCAGACCCAGACCCGGCAGGAGCAGGCCTCTCCTTACCCCTCAGACCCAGACCCGGCAGGAGCAGGACTCTCCTTACCCCTCAGACCCAGACCCGGCAGGAGCAGGCCTCTCCTTACCCCTCAGACCCAGACCCGGCAGGAGCAGGACTCTCTTTACCCCTCAGACCCAGACCCGGCAGGAGCAGGACTCTCCTTACCCCTCAGACCCAGACCCGGCAGGAGCAGGACTCTCCTTACCCCTCAGACCCAGACCCGGCAGGAGCAGGACTCTCCTTACCCCTCAGACCCAGACCCGGCAGGAGCAGGACTCTCCTTACCCCTCAGACCCAGACCCGGCAGGAGCAGGACTCTCCTTACCCCTCAGACCCAGACCCGGCAGGAGCAGGACTCTCCTTACCCCTCAGACCCAGACCCGGCAGGAGCAGGACTCTCCTTACCCCTCAGACCCAGACCCGGCAGGAGCAGGACTCTCCTTCCCCCCTCAGACCCAGACCCGGCAGGAGCAGGACTCTCCTTACCCCTCAGACCCAGACCCGGCAGGAGCAGGACTCTCCTTACCCCTCAGACCCAGACCCGGCAGCAGCAGGACTCTCCTTACCCCTCTGTGGCGGACACCAACACTGTTAGTCTTATCCAAGTGTTCGTGGGCTGACTGTCCTTCTTCAGCAGGCAACCCACAACAGTTACCTATGTCACGGGTACCTATTTACTGCTAGGTGAACAGAGCTATTAGGTGAAAAGAAACATGCCCACCCGTCTCCGTCCCGTAGTTCTAACCCGAGGACACTCCAACGGCGCTGAAGATAGAGCAGAACAATGGGATGTAAAGGGGGGAAAGGGAGATGTAATGGGGAAGGGACATGGTGATGGGAGAGTGAGGGAGCGAGGGAGGGGTGATGGGAAGGAGAGGGAGGGAGGGAGGGGTAATGGGAGGGGGGGGGAGGGAGGGAGGGAGGGGTGATGGGGCAGGAGCAACAGGTTCCAACAGTAAACAGAGAGGGCCGCCTCTCGTGTAAGAGCGCCGTTGGCGGCAGTAATGCAGCCGTCTCCTCTATCGATTCCCGCCCCGACTGAGAGCTACGGATTACCCCACCACCAGCGACCCTGCCCTCTGCCTGCCCACCACCAGCGACCCTGCCCTCTGTCTGCCCACCACCAGCGACCCTGCCCTCTGCCTGCCCACCACCAGCGACCCTGCCCTCTGCCTGCCCACCACCAGCCACCCTGCCCTTGCCCACCACCAGCGACAATGCCCTCTGCCTGCCCACCAGCGACCCTGCCCTCTGCCTGCCCACCAGCGACCCTGCCCTCTGCCTGCCCACCAGCGACCCTGCCCTCTGCCTGCCCACCACCAGCCACCCTGCCCTCTGCCTGCCCACCACCAGCGACCCTGCCCTCTGCCTGCCCACCACTAGCCACCCTGCCCTCTGCCTGCCCACCACCAGCCACCCTGCCCTCTGCCTGCCCACCAGCAGCGACCCTGCCCTCTGCCTGCCCACCACCAGCCACCCTGCCCTCTGCCTGCCCACCACCAGCCACCCTGCCCTCTGCCTGCCCACCACCACCAGCCACCCTGCCCTCTGCCTGCCCACCACCAGCCACCCTGCCCTCTACCTGCCCACCAGCAGCGACCCTGCCCTCTGCCTGCCCACCAGCAGCGACCCTGCCCTCTGCCTGCCCACCAGCAGCGACCCTGCCCTCTGCCTGCCCACCACCAGCAGCGACCCTGCCCTCTGCCTGCCCACAACCAGCGACCCTGCCCTCTGCCTGCCCACCACCAGCGACCCTGCCCTCTGCCTGCCCACCACCAGCAGCGACCCTGCCCTCTGCCTGCCCACCACCAGCAGCGACCCTGCCCTCTGCCTACCCACCACCACCAGCGACCCAGCCCTCCGCCTGCCCACCACCAGCCACCCTGCCCACTGCCTGCCCACCACCAGCGACCCTGCCCTCTGCCTGCCCACCACCAGCCACCCTGCCCTCTGCCTGCCCACCACCACCAGCCACCCTGCCCTCTGCCTGCCCACCACCAGCCACCCTGCCCTCCGCCTGCCCACCACCAGCCACCCTGCCCTCTGCCTGCCCACCACCAGCGACCCTGCCCTCTGCCTGCCCACCACCAGCGACCCTGCCCTCTGCCTGCCCACCACCAGCCACCCTGCCCTCTGCCTGCCCACCACCACCAGCCACCCTGCCCTCTGCCTGCCCACCACCACCAGCCACCCTGCCCTCTGCCTGCCCACCACCACCAGCCACCCTGCCCTCTGCCTGGCCACCACCAGCCACCCTGCCCTCTGCCTGCCCACCACCAGCTACCCTGCCCCCTGCCTGCCCACCACCAGCCACCCTGCCCTCTGCCTGCCCACCACCACCAGCCACCCTGCCCTCTGCCTGCCCACCACCAGCCACCCTGCCTGCCCACCACCAGCCACCCTGCCCTCTGCCTGCCCACCACCAGCTACCCTGCCCTCTGCCTGGTAACCACCAGCCACCCTGCCCTCTGCCTGCCCACCACCAGCCACCCTGCCCTCTGCCTGCCCACCACCAGCGACCCTGCCGTCTGCCTGCCCACCACCAGCCACCCTGCCCTCTGCCTGCCCACCACCAGCCACCCTGCCCTCTGCCTGCCCACCAGCAGTTACCCTGCCCTCTGCCTGCCCACCAGCAGCTACCCTGCCCTCTGCCTGCCCACCACCAGCGACCCTGCCCTCTGCCTGTTAACCACCAGCCACCCTGCCCTCTGCCTGCCCACCACCAGCCACCCTGCCCTCTGCCTGCCCACCACCAGCCACCCTGCCCTCTGCCTGCCCACCAGCAGTTACCCTGCCCTCTGCCTGCCCACCAGCAGCTACCCTGCCCTCTGCCTGCCCACCACCAGCGACCCTGCCCTCTGCCCGCCCACCAGCAGCTACCCTGCCCTCTGCCTGCCCACCACCAGCGACCCTGCCCTCTGCCTGCCCACCAGCAGCTACCCTGCCCTCTGCCTGCCCACCACCAGCGACCCTGCCCTCTGCCTGCCCACCAGCAGCTACCCTGCCCTCTGCCTGCCCACCACCAGCGACCCTGCCCTCTGCCTGCCCACCAGCAGCTACCCTGCCCTCTGCCTGCCCACCACCAGCCACCCTGCCCTCTGCCTGCCCACCACCAGCCACCCTGCCCTCTGCCTGCCCACCACCAGCCACCCTGCCCTCTGCTTGCCTGTAACTACTTCCTCTTTCATGCCATTCACTTCTACTACCCACGACATGCTTGCCTTGTTCTACCGCAATCCACCACCACCAACCATCGTCACCACCATCACCACCACCAACCATCGTCACCACCATCACCACCACCACCAACCATCGTCACCACCATCACCACCACCAACCATCGTCACCACCATCACCATCACCAACCATCGTCACCACCATCACCACCACCAACCATCGTCACCACCATTACCACCACCACCAACCATCGTCACCACCATTACCACCACCAACCATCGTCACCACCTCCACCACCACCAACTATCGTCACCACCATCACCACCACCAACCACCGTCACCACCATCACCACCATCACCACCACCAACCATCGTCACCACCACCACCACCACCAACCATCGTCACAACCTCCACCACCACCAACCATCGTCACCACCACCAACCATCGTCACCACCACCACCACCACCACCAACCATCGTCACCACCACCACCACCACCAACCATCGTCACCACCACAAAGACAGCCTGCAGAAAACCAGTGGTATAAATTGATATGGGTGTTTCATTAGCAGTGACAAAGAGAATACTTAAACAAATATCTAATGAAAATCTCACCGACCTAACAAATTCTCAAAGACCTGAAAGTTGTAGCATTAAATATTATGATAGATATCGTGAGGAGACATTCACATATGGGACTAATAGAACAAGAACCCGGCAATGTGATGTTATAGTGGCCAGAATACGCCTGGGATATAGAAGTATCTGGCAGCTTTCTCAAAACCCAAATGTCGAGTACACAATGTGTCAACTTTGTGAAAGAGAAAACATGCACTCTCTTGAACATTATATTGTAGAATGTCCCATATTGACTGACTTTCGCCCTCCTGGGCTAAGGTATGCTGAACTCTGTAGTTACTATATGAGTACTGGAACACTTGATGATATATTGGACTTGTATCCAAAATTGACCATGTAATGTATCAATCATACAATGTATGTATGTGATGTAACTATATAACCTGAGCTTGTAAAAGCACCTTCATCACCTTCAGTGATTAAGTGCTTAATTGCACACTAGTTTCTCTATCAGCTATCTCACCTTGTCAGAGTAAAAGAGACAAATCCCGTCACCACCACCACCACCACCGTCACCACCACCGTCACCACCACCACCACCACCACCACCACCACCACCACCACCACCGTCACCACCACCACCACCACCGTCACCACCACCACCACCACCACCACCACCACCACCACCACCACCACCGTCACCACCACCACCACCGTCACCACCACCACCACCGTCACCACCACCACCACCACCACCACCACCACCACCACCACCGTCACCACCACCACCACCGTCACCACCACCACCACCACCACCACCACCACCACCGTCACCACCACCACCACCACCACCACCACCACCACCACCACCACCACCACCACCACCGTCACCACCACCACCACCACCGACACCACCACCACCACCACCACCTCCACCACCACCACCACCACCGTCACCACCACCGTCACCACCACCGTCACCACCATTACCACCACCACCACCACCACCACCACCGTCACCACCACCACCACCACCACCGTCACCACCACCGTCACCACCACCGTCACCACCACCACCACCACCACCACCACCACCACCACCACCACCACCACCACCACCACCACCGTCACCACCACCACCACCACCACCACCACCGTCACCACCACCACCACCACCGTCACCACCACCACCACCACCACCACCGTCACCACCACCACCACCACCACCACCGTCACCACCACCACCACCACCACCACCACCACAACAAACACCACTCACAAGTCACCGCTCACTAATTACTGAGTGGAAACAACGTGACTGCAAAAACAATTTTAAAAGTTGTTTTTGTTTCGTAGTGGAGGGGGTGGGGGGGGGGGGATTATAACAGGTTAGAGGGTAGAGAGTAGAGACTAAGGGGGTAGAGGGTAGAGGGTATAGAGACTAGAGGCTATCTTGAGATGATTTCGGGGCTTTAGTGTCCCCGCGGCCCGGTCCTCGACCAGGCCTCCACCCCCAGGAAGCAGCCCGTGACAGCTGACTAACACCCAGGTACCTATTTTACTGCTAGGTAACAGGGGCATAGGGTGAAAGAAACTCTGCCCATTGTTTCTCGCCGGCGCCTGGGATCGAACCCAGGATCCCAAGTCCAGCGTGCTGTCCGCTCGGCCGACCGGCTCCCTTAGGGTAGCGCGCAGGGTAGCGGGTACTTCCTACAAAATGATGGCTAGAGAGTAGAGGCTCAAAGTTAGTGACTGATCAACCAGGCTGTGATTCATACGTCAGGCTGCGAGCAGCCGCGTCCAACAGCCTGGTTGAGCAGTCCAGCAACGAGGAGGCCTGATCGAGGACCGGGCCGCGGGGACGTTGAGCCCTGGAATCCCCGCAAGGTAACCACAAGGTTAGGACTAACAGGAATGATAAGGAATGTGAATAATGAATGAGAGAGAGGTGAAGGTGGAAGGAACAACGCGGAATGTGTAGAAGTGAATAATGATATACAACAGAGATAAGACATCTCAGAAGTACAGGAGATACTGAGATGAAATACAGCATATGAGATACTGATACTGAGGTACATGAGATACTGAGAGGAAACACAGCATATGAGATACTGATACTGAGGTACATGAGATACTGAGAGGAAGCACAGCATATGAGATACTGATACTGAGGTACATGAGATACTGAGACAATACTACACTAACAAACAATCAAAGAGATACAGAGACTACAGTTACCCGCCTCACTCAACAACCTAACCAATCCTGATTAATTCCTCCATCAGTTCTCAATATATTGAGCTGTTCCTTAATCATTAGCACGAACTATGAATCAGACTGCACGAATCATGGCACGTCAATACACGAACATTAACTGCAAGTACGACTTTTATGAAGTTACCAATCACGGGCCGTCTACCGCCCCTCACTCACCGCTAACTACGCCAACTCATCAAAGTATAACAAAATTAAATACATTCTTACTGATGCAGAGACGTGGAGGCGCAACAATACCCTTAGTAAGACATTCTTATTAAAAACTTAATGTTTACAACCACTTGAATTAAGTCCGAGATTAAGTCAATGTATAAAGTTTCTCTTGACTTATCTCTGAAGCACTCGAGAATATCTGCTGTGAGGAACACGTTATCAGAGACACTTAATTGACCTACACACTTCACCGTGAGTGAGGGAGGGGTATGAAGCAACTTGTGAGGTGAATGAGGGAGAATGAGGCAACATGTGAGGTAAATGAGGAAGAATGAGGTCAACACCCAGAGGTCAACAACCCGAGGTCAACAACCCGAGGTCAACAACCCGAGGTCAACAACCCGAGGTCAACAACCAGAGGTCAACAACCAGAGGCCAACAACCCGAGGTCAACAACCTGAGGTCAACAACCTGAGGTCAACAACCAGAGGTCAACAACCAGAGGTCAACAACCTGAGGTCAACAACCAGAGGTCAACAACCAGAGGTCAACAACCAGAGGTCAACTACCCGAGGTCAACAACCCGAAGTCAACAACCCGAAGTCAACAACCAGAGGTCAACAACCAGAGGTCAACAACCAGAGGTCAACAACCTGAGGTCAACAACCTGAGGTCAACAACCTGAGGTCAACAACCAGATGTCAACAACCGGAGGTCAACAACCAGAGGTCAACAACCTGAGGTCAACAACCAGAGGTCAACAACCCGAGGTCAACAACCAGAGGTCAACAACCAGAGGTCAACAACCAGAGGTCAACAACCTGAGGTCAACAACCCGAGGTCAACAACCAGAGGTCAACAACCTGAGGTCAACAACCAGAGGTCAACAACCAGAGGTCAACTACCCGAGGTCAACAACCCGAAGTCAACAACCCGAAGTCAACAACCAGAGGTCAACAACCAGAGGTCAACAACCAGAGGTCAACAACCTGAGGTCAACAACCTGAGGTCAACAACCTGAGGTCAACAACCAGATGTCAACAACCTGAGGTCAACAACCAGAGGTCAACAACCTGAGGTCAACAACCAGAGGTCAACAACCCGAGGTCAACAACCAGAGGTCAACAACCTGAGGTCAACAACCAGAGATCAACAACCAGAGGTCAACTACCCGAGGTCAACAACCCGAAGTCAACAACCCGAAGTCAACAACCAGAGGTCAACAACCAGAGGTCAACAACCAGAGGTCAACAACCTGAGGTCAACAACCTGAGGTCAACAACCTGAGGTCAACAACCAGATGTCAACAACCTGAGGTCAACAACCAGAGGTCAACAACCCGAGGTCAACAACCAGAGGTCAACAACCAGAGGTCAACAACCAGAGGTCAACAACCTGAGGTCAACAACCCGAGGTCAACAACCCGAGGTCAACTACATTACAAGATGCTAGACGCTGCAATAACTAGATGAAAAATACTAGTTTAGCAGATCTAGAGTGGCTCTAGGCTAGAGTGTCTCTAGGCTAGAGTGGCTCTAGGGTAGAGTGGCTCTAGGGTAGAGTGGCTCTAGGGTAGAGTGGCTCTAGGCTAGAGTGACTCTAGGCTAGAGTGGCTCTAGGCTAGAGTGACTCTAGGGTAGAGTGGCTCTAGGGTAGAGTGACTCTAGGGTAGAGTGGCTCTAGGGTAGAGTGACTCTAGGGTAGAGTGGCTCTAGGGTAGAGTGGCTCTAGGCTAGAGTGACTCTAGGCTAGAGTGGCTCTAGGCTAGAGTGACTCTAGGGTAGAGTGGCTCTAGGGTAGAGTGACTCTAGGGTAGAGTGGCTCTAGGGTAGACGTTACACGATTGAAAGAAGAGTGTAGAAGATGAAAGCAAGAGAGAAGGTGCGGCCAGTAACGATTGGGCACTACCAGCACTCTGGCTCTGGAATAGCAGAGTGCTGTAATGAGATTAAGACGGCACTTACCGCCTGCTTCTCTTTCTCACAAGGAAACTGCTCAAGAGTCGTTAGAGTAAGTCTTACAGCTGTGTTGGAACACCTACAACACCTGCCCATGACAGCTGTGTTGGAACACACGCAACACCTGTCCATGACAGCTGTGTTGGAACACCTACAACACCTGCCCATGACAGCTGTGTTGAACACACGCAACACCTGTACATGACAGCTGTTTTGGAACACACGCAACACCTGTGCATGACAGCTGTGTTGGAACACACGCAACACCTGTGCATGACAGCTGTGCTGAACACACGCAACACCTGCACATGACAGCGGTGTTGGAACACATGCAACACCTGCACATGACAGCGGTGTTGGAATACCTGCAACACCTGCCCATGACAGCTGTGTTGGAACACACGCAACACCTGCACATGACAGCGGTGTTGGAACACACGCAACACCTGCACATAACAGATGTGTTGGAACACACGCAACACCTGCACATGACAGCGGTGTTGGAACACCTGCAACACTTGCCCATGACAGCTGTGTTGGAACACCTGCACATGACAGCTGTGTTGAACACACGCAACACCTGCACATGACAGCGGTGTTGGAACACCTCCAACACCTGCACATGACAGCTGTGTTGGAACACATGCAACACCTGCACATGACAGCTGTGTTGGAACACATGCAACACCTGCACATGACAGCTGTGTTGGAACACATGCAACACCTGCACCTGACAGCTGAGTTGGAACACACGCAACACCTGCACATGACAGCTGAGTTGGAACACATGCAACACCTGCACATGACAGCTGTGTTGGAACACCTGCAACACCTGCCCATGACAGCTGTGTTGGAACAAACGCAACACCTGCACATGACAGCTGTGTTGGAACACACGCAACACCTGCCCATGACAGCTGTGTTGGAACACCTGCAACACCCGCCCATGACAGCTGTGTTGGAACACACGCAACACCTGCACATGGCAGCTGTGTTGGAACACACGCAACACCTGCACATGCAACACCTGCACATGACAGCTGTGTTGGAACACATGCAACACCTGCACATGAGAGCTGTGTTGGAACACAACACCTGCACATGGCAGCTGTGATGGAACACACGCAACACCTGCACATGACAGCTGTGTTGGAACACAACACCTGCACCTGACAGCTGAGTTGGAACACAACACCTGCACATGACAGCTGAGTTGGAACACAACACCTGCACATGACAGCTGAGTTGGAACACAACACCTGCACCTGACAGCTGAGTTGGAACACAACACCTGCACATGACAGCTGTGTTGGAACACAACACCTGCACCTGACAGCTGAGTTGGAACACACTCAACACCTGCACATGACAGCTGAGTTGAAACACAACACCTGCACATGACAGCTGAGTTGGAACACATGCAACACCTGCACATGACAGCTGTGTTGGAACACCTGCAGCACCTGCCCATGACAGCTGTGTTGGAACAAACGCAACACCTGCACATGACAGCTGTGTTGGAACACACGCAACACCTGTCCATGACAGCTGTGTTGGAACACCTGCAACACCTGCCCATGACAGCTGTGTTGGAACACACGCAACACCTGCACATGACAGCTGTGTTGGAACACAACACCTGCACATGGCAGCTGTGATGGAACACACGCAACACCTGCACCTGACAGCTGTGCAGGAACACACGCAACACCTGCACATGCAACACCTGCACATGACAGCTGTGTTGGAACACAACACCTGCACCTGACAGCTGTGTTGGAACACAACACCTGCACATGGCAGCTGTGATGGAACACATGCAACACCTGCACCTGACAGCTGTGCAGGAACACACGCAACACCTGCACATGACAGCTGTGCAGGAACACACGTAACACCTGCAAATTAGAGAACACACAGTCATCTCTGACCTTCGGGAACCTGGTCTATTATAGACCGTCCCGGACTGTAGGGGGAGGTCCAGGACCATAATTAGATCGTTCAGGACCATAATTAGATCGTTCAGGACCATAATTAGATCGTCCAGGACCATAATTTGATCGTTCAGGACCATAATTAGATCGTTCAGGACCATAATTAGATCGTTCAGGACCATAATTAGATCGTTCAGGACCATAATTAGATCGTTCAGGACCATAATTAGATCGTTCAGGACCATAATTAGATCGTTCAGGACCATAATTAGATCGTCCAGTACCATAATTAGATCATTCAGGACCATAATTAGATCGTCCAGTACCATAATTAGATCGTCCAGGACCATAATTAGATCGTTCAGGACCATAATTAGATCGTTCAGGACCATAATTAGATCGTTCAGGACCATAATTAGATCGTTCAGGACCATAATTAGATCGTTCAGGACCATAATTAGATCGTTCAGGACCATAATTAGATCGTCCAGTACCATAATTAGATCATTCAGGACCATAATTAGATCGTCCAGTACCATAATTAGATCATTCAGGACCATAATTAGATCGTCCAGTACCATAATTAGATCGTCCAGGACCATAATTAGATCGTTCAGGACCATAATTAGATCGTTCAGGACCATAATTAGATCGTTCAGGACCATAATTATATCGTTCAGGACCACAATTAGATCGTTCAGGACCAACGATCTAATTATAGATAGCATAAGCAAATTATACTTGGTCTGGGCTTGTGCCAAGGATGGCGAGTGGAAGAATCTGAATGGCTTTTGCAGTTGTTGATTCAAGCAATTTTCCCAGCAGCGTCCTTAAGATAATTCTTCTTCTTAAATGTTGGTTCCGCATTCACAACCGAGCGCGCTTCTCGTACTCTCTCTTGAACTCCAATGATTTATTTATTATGAAAACAAGGCTTAAGTTCAGCTTTACCGACTGTGAGGACGTTGGTAAGCAGTCAAGTTGGGCTTAAATTTTCAGTCTTGTATAAAACCTTTCACTGGAGCAAAAGCTAAACTGGTGTTCATCACCCACTCACATTCTTCAACTACTGGTAAAATATAAAAGTCTTCTCTCTTCAGCAACCAGACAACGTAACGATTCTTCGCGGCGGGGATCGTATTCCAGGGACTTGCCCGAAACGCTACGCGTACTAGTGGCTGTACAAGAATGTAACAACTCTTGTATATATCTCAAAAAAAAAAAAAGTGTTTAGAATACCACATATTTCTTGGTCATCACCAGTGCTAGAGTTGAGGCGCCGTGTAAGACGGGGCCATATATGTGTTTACACATATGGCCCCAACACCGCCACCACAACACACAAGGAACACAGAACCATAAGAACGGGTGTACACAGTGTCAGTGTCAGCAGAACCAACTGCCAGTACCAGTAAGTAGGGATACACCCTCCATTAATAGTTCTTAAAGTAGATATGACAACAGACAAAGGAGTCACGAGTTATTACACTGGACGACCGACAGTTACAAAGGCGGGGCCCATGAACTAACGCCAATCATGGAAACATGAGCCAGGAAACACCAACCACTTTAAGTGTCAGGAAGAAAGTGTAGACAAGCCAGTAGGAAATACTTAAGAAATACAAGTGTAGTTTGTTTCTTTGTCATGTGTAATATGGTGGCGGGCCGCCGCACTCCTCAACACTCCCAGCATCACCAGGTGGCTCCCTGTGTCTAGCAACACATTATATATTTATCCCTCACAATGTCCCGTAATATGTTCATTGCTGGTGATGTGTGTCTACATATATATATGAACACGTTGTACTGAACGGGGTGAGAATAGCTGAGTTACCTCATCCCTTTGTGTGTATTTATGCCTCAATAAACAGATTTAAATTTGAATTTGAATCAGAATTTGGCAGGAATAGGCTGCGACGGGTTATATAATATATAGTACTAGAAGGGAACCCCCCGGTGCCCTGTGCTCTCAGTCTCTCCCCCCCCTCACCCTCCTCCCCCCCCCCCACACTCTTCAACCCCCCCCTACTCTCCTCAACCCCCCACTCTCCTCACCCCCACCCCACACTCGCCCTCACCAATATAGTATCTTCAGACCACCAAATTAGACAGGTTAAATATCCACAGGAATCCACTGGGAAATAGCAGTTGGGTTATATAGACTACGTCTAGGTTACAGATGCAACTGGGAGACTGGTGAACCCCGACAGAGAGAATACATTTTCTGCCAAAGAGTCACAGAAAAGTCACTACTTCACTATCTCCTGGAATGTTAAGCATCCAACGACCTTAGAAGAGCTTTAAGAGTCCGTGAATCATGCAGTAACCAGCCTGAAGCCATCAACACTGCCACTCTCCTGGTCAAGAAAGGTGTCCAGCAGCTGGAGACCCTCATAAAGACTGTCAAGTAGTGTCCTCCCCCGCGATAGCAGCCTGACGAGTTAACTACGACCTCAGCACACTGTATACATTCACTCCAAAAAAATCTACCACTTACGGGCTATTCATGACCGTGGCACCTCTTGGGTGGCTTAATCTTCACCAATCAATCTGCATTGATTATACTTTTGATTGTGTGTTGATTAGCCCGAAAGCGCTCTTCAGTAATTTCTTGTTTCCTGTATACCCGCAGTCCTCACATACGTCCAGAGATCAAGAGCTTCCACTCCTCTCCCCACCCTTCCCTCTCACTGATATAAACTGTATCTAAACTCCCTTCCCTCACCCCCCCCCCCCTGCTGAACACACTGTGGTGTAACCTCGGGGCTCGAGTGTAGCTACGTACACCCAGAAGCTTCAGCAAGCACAGCAATGTGCTGCCTCTGACCTGCTCCAGCTGCACATTACACCAACACGACACAGGTGGCCAGGAGGCTCAGAGCCAGGAGTTACAGGAGGTGGGGGTGGCCAGGAGGCTCAGAGCCAGGAGTTACAGGAGGTGGGGGTGGCCAGGAGGCTCAGAGCCAGGAGTTACAGGAGGTGGAGGTGGTGAGGAGGCTCAGAGCCAGGAGTTACAGGAGGTGGAGGTGGCCAGGAGGCTCAGAGCCAGGAGTTACAGGAGGTGGAGGTGGTGAGGAGGCTCAGAGCCAGGAGTTACAGGAGGTGGAGGTGGTGAGGAGGCTCAGAGCCAGGAGTTACAGGAGGTGGAGGTGGCCAGGAGGCTCAGAGCCAGGAGTTACAGGAGGTGGGGGTGGCCAGGAGGCTCAGAGCCAGGAGTTACAGGAGGTGGGGGTGGCCAGGAGGCTCAGAGCCAGGAGTTACAGGAGGTGGGGGTGGCCAGGAGGCTCAGAGCCAGGAGTTACAGGAGGTGGAGGTGGCGAGGAGGGTCAAGAGGGAAGAGGAGGAGGAGCGACTCCCTACAGTGCCATTAACAGCATCAAGTACTGAATACTTAACAACCTGTCGGCCCCCGAGGAAGACGAGTACCTTTTGGCCCTTAATTCATACTCACTGAATTCATGCC